TAAAGTGTGTGTTTGTAAACAGCTCGTGTGACGTCACAGGAGGAGTAACACGGATATTTATAATTGTGACCTCACAGCTTTTCACCTTTTATTATCACCGGGCAGATTCTGAGGCCAACAGCCTGTCACACACGCACACACACACACACACACACACACACACACACACACACACACACACACACACGCTTCTCTCTCTGCAGTGCACAATAATGTAAAATGTGCTGTATGAATGTGTGTGATGTAAAAACCTGTAAAGAACTTTGAGTGTCATCAAGACTAAAGAGTAACATGACATTAGGCAAAGCATGTGTGACTTGGGGGCCCCCTGGTGGCTGCATTGACTCTGACCAGAATTTAAAATGCACCTGTATCTTTTATTATTCTAATAGGTGTAGTGTTTTATCATTCTTTTATTTTGAATCTATTTATTTTATGTATTATCATTATTATACTGCTTCGTCTCCATCCTCATCCTCATCAGATCCAGAGGAGTCATCTCCTGGAGAAGTCAGCCGTCACCCTGAAGGTGCCACTGAACGACCTGGTCTGAGCAGAGGAGCTAAACGTGACTCCGTGAGACGATATCAGTGTTCACGTGCTCATACATACCGACACTCAGAGAGAATCATGGATGAGCTCATACATCGCATCATCATATTTATTGCAAAATAAATTACAAGGCCTCTACTTACATATTTACATTCATCTCTATTCATTTCATAAAGTAACAAGTTAAACATGTCAGAGTACAAAATGCATAAAAGTTTTTCAAAAACACAAGAATATTGACAAAAGGGTGAAGAACTTTATCACATGAAACCAGAGCGTGAGCAGTGATTACACAAATACAAGTACATTGTTTACGTTGTAAAAGCTGTGATTCAGTATAGTTTTATATGTTTTATCCTCTTTACAGTGAGTTTTCTTATTTACATTTTTCTCAAGAGAAAGTACAAAGATCCTGATGAAACAAATCTGACATATTTAGGGAACTAATTTGTGTGTGTGTGTAATTTGGTGAAGCTTCATTCAATTTAAAGGAACTGGGACGCCGGAAGTGAGGGGGCTGCAGCATCACCTACTGGTAAGGGATAGCAACTGCAAGGGAAAAAAGTTGTCTAAAATCAATGACAGAAACTTTAAGCAAATTTTCTACAGTAACATTTTAAGAGTAGAATAGAATCAGGCCTTAAAAACTATTTTTATTTTTTCTAATATAGAAGTGATGGTCAAAGTGAGCTGAGAGATTCTCTGAGGTTCTAAAGTTTACGGGTGGTTTGATTTTCTGAAACTGGTGTAAAATGTTGTTGGTTAAAGGAAAACTCACCTGTGTGTGTGTGTGTGTGTGTGTGTGTGTGTCTGTGTGTGTGTGTGTCTGTGTGTGTGTGTGTGTGTGTGTGTGTTGCATCAATCGAAGTCGCAGCCCAGCAGCTCTATCCTCATGGTGATGGAGCTCATCCAGCTCCTGGGGATGATTCGGACGAAGCGTGAGAAAATGGGCGGGTAGATGTAGTTCTTCACGTGGTTGTTGTTGTCAGTGTTTCCTGAGAACGTCTGGATATGATGAGAAAGAGAAGATCGATTAGAATCATTGATCTGCTCCTGGTTCACGTGTTTCCAGTTTCCATGGGATTTTGCCGCACCTTGACCGGGAGCTCCTCGTCGTCTGTGTACTGGATCCAGTGGATCCCGTTGTCGCTGTACTGCAGAGTGTAGGAAATGACGTACATCTCTGTCCCCAGAGACTTGGCTCCCTGCGTTACTATACCTGTGATCTTCTTCACCTTGGGCAGTTCCACCTGCAGCCACTGGTTCCTGTCGTTATACTGTGGAGGAGAAAGCACAGAGAAGGAAGTGAAGACTTATTCTTCGTCTGTATTTCGCTCGTTCCTCGTTCTAAACCTGAAGGCGTTCACTGAGGCCCGGCCTGTCAGAATTAGAGGGAGAACCTTGGCCTGCCAGGCGTTGATGGTGCCCTGTCTGTTGAGGCGAGCGAGGGACGGTTTCCAGGATCCAGAGTACCAGCTGGAGGCCGTGGAGCTGGCAGTGATGAGATTATCTGCTATGTCTCCGCTCTCTATCCCCAGAGGCACCGAGCACCCTGAGGCCGGAGATTACAGATGTTACATTGACAGTTATAGTACTCACTACACACACACATTTTTTTAAATGATTCAATATAAAATATGCAAAATGTATGAGGATATAAAGTTTAATCAAGGTCAGCACATGGATCAATGGTGTTGTGACGATGTACAGAACCGTTAATGTGTGACATAGATGCTGATCACATGGTTCGTGTATTTAAACTTTTGCACACACGCAGAAACAGACTTTACCGTCGAGCTCGCAGCCGTAGAACTCCATGCGAACTGTGGCCTTGTTGTACCAGCGGATGGGGTGGAGTCTGATGAACCGTCCAATCAGAGGTGGAGAGAAGGTGTTTCTCTTTGACGCGTACGATTCCTCGTTCCCACTGAAGACCTGATGAGAGAGGAGGAGACACAGAGAGAAAGAAATGAAGAGGTGATCGTCTCTTTTGGTTTGTTAATGATTCCACATAAAAACATAATCTGTCATCATCTGCATTGAGTTGTGTTTTTGTTAACCCTTGGATAACCTTGTTTTCATGGATAAGAGTGTAAATTCTGCAGGTTATCAAAGTCAACATCAAAGCTTTTGTGAGTTCACCACATTGTCCGTGGTTTTGCGGGGGTTGATCATAATTTTATGAGAATTCTCTGTGCTGTAATGTTCTAACAACTCAATAATGAATTTCTCTGTTTTAGCAGATTCTGGAGTGAGAGACCTCGTATGTTGTTCTGTTTCATCACACAACACAAGTGAGAGAGAACACAACTGCTGCATTTGCACATATCAAACCCCCCCCACCTTCCTGAGGTCGCTGCTGTTGCCCTTATAGAAGATCCACTTCCTGCGGTCGGTGCTGTAGGAGATTAAGTACTTGATCACGTATTGGTACTTAAACATCTGCTTGGCTCCCTGAGTGGCCACCTGACTGATCACAACCGGCCGCTGGAAGTCCACCTGCACAGGGGAACTCACATTTTAGTCACATAGCAAATGCAGATGTGCAAATACAATAATTACACATATATAACACATACCTGGATCCAGCTGTTTTCCACCTCTGTGCTCCACGCATTGTATTTACCCTGATTGTCCAGTCTGGCAAGATGCGGCTCCCAGTATCCTGCAAACATGGAAACACTGTCATCTGGTGCCGTTTTTACTCACACAGCTTCAGTTGTGCAGTATTTTGTGTGGTGGCAGTGGGATCAACACTGTATCTGACAGCAGGAGGAATATTTACCTCTGGTGTTGATTGCTGTGATCTGAGCATCTGTCACGCTGCCAGACTGTAGACCCAGCGGACGGTTACAGTCTTAGAGGAGACACACAAGTCACAATATTATAACACACGATATACAATCTTTAGATTGTGCAGCAGTAATTAAAAAGTTTGTACCGTTTTCTAGAACCAGGAAGAGAGTCTGCATTCCCTTCTGTTGGTTGAAACCAACTAGTGTCTCCAGCTGCCACAGACCAGGTTTGGACAGAAACATCTCCAGAGTCGCAAAACTCCCTGCAGATACAGTTTGGTAAATAAGTTGAAAACACATGTCCCTGCTGCAATACTGACATGGAACACCATCAAACACTATATATCATGTAACTCTGAATCCTCCTGCACAGACACTGCAGTGCTCACCGGGCAGCAGAGGGTGGACAGCCTGTCTGTAGCTGTTGATCCTCTTTTGCAGGAACGTCTGTCCGTGGAAGTGGACACTTTGAAAGTCTTTGGGAGAACCCATGTTGATGAGGTGCCAGCGTACGAGCTTGTGGGTGTTCATCCTCAGACCCTTCAGGTTGAAAATGATCCCGTTGATGGCTGAGGACATGAGGACACGAGGAGAAGAAGATGCTCAGGTTTGATCATATATCAACAGAGTGTTTGAATGAGCCCGTTATAGAATGAGTTGTTATTATATTCAAAGTGCTTCGGGTGCAGGATTATTATTTTTATTTAAAGCAGACCAGTTGAAAGTATAAAATTCTTTACAGTGGAACTTGAGGTCTCCCTTGAAGTTAGAGTCAAAGTTTCTCCTCCGACTTTTCCTCTGCATCATCTCGTGGTTCTTCTCGTAGAACCAGCTCTGAGACTCGTCGAAGGTCATGAACAGCAGAATGAACTCCCGAATGTCTGATAGGTCCCGGCTCAGGGTTCCCTCCCGACACACTAGCAGAGGTCCGATCAAGCCGGAGTGGATGTCCCTCTCCTGAGAGACGGAAAAATTGTAATATTACACAAGCATCAATGTCTTAGTATACAATTATATATATATAGAGCCAACTGTGACTTTTCCCTGCAGCCATTTGGGGGCGCCACAGTCATACATTGAAATGATAGATTCTGAATATCATTTCTAAACATACAATCAGTTATTAATTATCTAAAGTACTCACAGGATTGACACCTGAGTAGTAGGCCCAGGTCCGACAGTCAGACTCGTCTTGCGATGGCCCGACCATGGGGTGGACCTTCCAGAGATATGTGAAGGTGGTGTTGGGTTGAACCTCGTTGTCATACTTGTACCAGTACTTGGAGCCGTCCTCATAGGACAGACCTTCTGACTGCTTGGTGTAGGAAACTCCATTTGGGTGAATGGAGTACGGCCGGTTGGCGTTGTTCCTGAACACCACCTGAGAGTAAGAAGGACACAGGTCATTGTCGGGTGGTTACGGTTTGCGTCTCGTTCTTTTGTGTCAGTCTTCACAGTTTGTGTCATATGGACAGAACATGTCTCCGTTTTCAGTCTTTGTGCTGTAATGTGAAGCTCAATAAATTGTTATGCTGACGACACAGTTATATTTTTAGTGACAGGCCACGAAACCTCCTCAAACTTAATGACAGTAAAACAGAAATTCTCTTTATCGTATTCCTCAATATATAAAACCTGTCGCAGGGACTTGTTTTTGAGGATCAAGTAAAGAGTTGTCTGATCTTTTTTAAACATAACTGAAGTTAATTTTCATTTTCAGTGTGAAATGTGACAGAGATTTTTAGTCTCGCTGCTTTGGCTTCCTGTTTGTTTTCACAATCATTTTAAGATTTATTGATTTTTAAACTTCTTTGTATACGAAGGATTGACTCTCTCACTGTGCGCCTGCACATCTTAGATCAGCTGATGATCTTTCATCTCTGGGGGAATTTAATTTAGTTTATTGTCTATTGCTGAAATGTATTTTAGTTTTCTCCTCTTGTGAAGCACTTTGAATCTTCGTTAAGAAACGTGCTCTACAAATGAATCATTTGATGAGATAGATAACAGCAGATTTCCGACTGTCTTACCATGATGCTTTGTTCAACCTCGGCCTTGATGACCGGCCCCAGGATTCCCAGATGCTCCTCTATCTCTCCGCGGATGTCGGGCGTGTTGAAGCTACTGTCCGTGTAACCTCTGAAAACCACCTTGGTGAACGCTGTTTTCCGGGTGTTATACTGCGCTTTGTCTTGTCTCCTGTGGGCAGGGCGTGACCGCATTTCAGTTTCTCATTGTGTTTCTTATTGATGCACATGTTTGAATTCCCTGAGCTTACCTCTGTCCGTAGCCGCTGTAGTCCCACTCCACCTCCTCTGCAGAGATGAAATACGTCTTGACGTTGGGGCCTACGTTTTTTAAGTAGTACTTGGTGGTCTCGTCCAGGTTGAGATTCTTGATGTCTTCGTCGCTGCTGTAGGGGTCTTTGAAGGACACATATTCATATTCATTTGCTTTCACGTCTTGCTCATCCAGCCCGAGATGATCTGGCTCATCTCCAGGAACATACAGCTCATAGTCACTGAAGTCAGGCCGCGGCACGCCGATCACCACGGGCTGGTCAGTCAGCACCGCCTCATCAGAGATGGCGGCCGGCGCGTTGGGTCGAGCCCCGCGTGGCGACATAGCTGGATTGAAACCACGAGGAGAGAATGGCAAACCGCTCCTGGCCAGAGGCTTGTACACCTTCCTCCTCTTGGTTTTCATGCCTTCACCCTTCTGCGGCCTCTGTCGGAGGTTCACCGTCTTCACCTTCCTCTTTGGAGCTGGCGTTGTCTGAGGGGTCTGTCTCTCGAAATATTTAACCATGTGGTCAGGAATCTCCATGGGCTCCATTTGGTGAGTTCCCTCATAAGTCCAGTTGTGGCCCTGTGTTTTGACAGAGGTGGATTTAATCGCCTCCTTGTTGTTTTCTGTGAGGTAGATCAGAACTTCTTCTACACTCTCGGAGACATTAAGCTCCTCAGAACTTCCCGTTCTGACTCCACCACTCTTCTCCCAATCCACCATCTCGTTACTTTCTGCAGACGCTGTCTCGTACAACTCGCTCATCTCCGAACTTATCAAGCCTGAAGAGTTGGATCTGGATATATTTTGAGATGTGGTGTTCTCCAGCTCTGCTCCAGTGCTCAGCGAGTCGATACCACCGGTTGTGTTGTCAGTGTTCTCCACTTCAGACACAAGGATTGTCGGTTTGCATCTGTCTGTGCTGCTGACGTTGAACTCTCCAACGTCTGGAGAGGACAATGATGCATCTGCTGACACGTTAGCTGCTGTGTTATTCTCATCTGTCCTTCGTGTCTCTGGCAGACCGAGGGAGCTGTTGGTGTTGGACCTGGACTGAGGAACAGAGTAAGAGAACACGTCCCCTCGGGTGAGTCTTTCCTCAGAGTCCTCGTTCAAGACATCAGACATCTGGTTGTCACCAGTCAGGATTACGTTCATTCTTTCGGTCTCCAAGAGGGAATTTACATTTCCAGGTACTGTAAGATTTGCAGATTTTTGCACTGTTATTGTAAGATTAGTAGTTTCTTGTTGTGTTGCTGTAACGTTTGTAGTTTCTTGAGTTGCTGTAACGTTTGTAGTTTCTTG